TTCTATTTCTTTCTTCCAATCGCTCATCACGTCTTTTAGTCTCATAGACGGCTGGAAAGGAAAGGGCATGCAGTCATTTTGAATTCGTTGTTCTTATGAAGAAAAGAAATATTTGTAAATAGAACAGGAGAGATGGTAAGTTTTGTGCTCGGTGAAGAAATAGAGAAAGATGGTTTTCGTCCCACGAGCGTGGGACAAAGAAAGTCCCCATAAGGAATCGAACCTCAGAACTTCAGATTCTGTACTCTGATGCTCTACCACTGAGCCTTATAGACTCAGTAACATCTTTCTCTAAGAAAAGAAATGTATTAGGTTCGATATCCAAGGATTAGTGGAAGAAAATGACATGGCATAAAGAACACAGTCTCTTTCCTCGTAACACTGACGTAATTTTTTTTGTAATCTTATATTTATTTCTGTTTTAGTAATATCATCATTATTTATAACTATTTTCATCCAAGGGAGTTGATATATTTATCTTTACCAAATATACGATATCTACACGCCAGGTAGCTGCACTATGCATTTATTAGCGTTATCTTAGTTCGTAGGGAAGAGTAAGAAAAGAGCGGAATCTTTCTCTAGTTCTCCTTTGAATTTAAATCAATATGATCGAGTTTTAAAAGGCGGAATAGTGAATAGTAAGATCTACATCAGCTGACAGACAAGGCACTTATTTTCATCATTTTTAACTCGTGAATTGCGCGCATGTGCAAGAGCGAGTTGTAGATACGATGTGGGGAATAGCACTCGCTCGCTCGCTCGCTCGATTGATCGATTCCTGTAAACTTTTTTTCGATTTTAGGCTTTCGTGTGCATTTGATAGTTTTTGGCGAGCAATACAAACAAAAAAAACAAAACAAACGAAATGGCGACCTTTTTTGCTAAGAATAGTGGTGAGGTGAAAAAGAAGCCAATGATAATCTTAAAAGAGTTTTTTTTTCGTTTTAGTTTCAACAAGCGGCGCCAGCGACTGGCAGGCATGCAAGGATTCACACTGAAATAACAGAACAACCTTCGTTTTTCATAAAGATGTAATTTACGATCTTTGAACTTGAAAACAATCCGAAGATTCATTGAAAATATCACTTACTGCGAAGCGCTCGGAGTTTACAGATGTTCCAAGATGTTATGGCGTTAATTACGTTTCTTATCGTGTGTTTTTCCTGTGTGAAGCAACAAAAGATGCCGGCGACTGACGAAATTATAAGTTAACACGAAAATCAAATAACACCTAAACAATCAATTTTAGCTACCGATTTTCAGTGAATTTTTAAAGAATAATTTTCTTTTAAGTTTCAAGACAATTTGAAGATTCAAATTACATATTACGTACTAAAATGCGAAAGTTATACACCACAAAATTGATAAATAGGCCTGAAATGAAATTCTACCTTGTTACTGATTATACGTTGCCTAGCACGTGACTAAAATCTACCCAGGCGGAGATCCAAAATGAAGGTGGCAGTCTTGGCTTAGTTATATCACTCAAAACTCGTTCCCGTTTGTCTCAATCCATTTGATAAAGAGGGAATCGTTAATGTTTTCATTAAGACTGTATTACCTTGATTTTCTAATATTTACAATGATAGACAGTAAATTTCACTTTTCACCCACATTTACTTCCAACCTTTTCTTTTGAACCAGAAGCAAAAATGATATACATTTAAAACACATGACATCGTCCGTCCTTGTCAAATGTAACAGCATTATCATTTCAATTGTAGTGCCTTCTTATCCCAACGTTACTTTGTTTCTTTGCTACATTAGCGAACACTGAACTACTGCTCGTACTCTAGATATGACAATCAACCACAAAATTCCCTAAACCAGATAACATTAAACATAATCCAAAAAATGTGTCAATTCACGAGTTTGCTCACAGAGCACTTTGATGCAGTTGGGACTGGTGGATATGATTCTGTTTTTAAACAAATCATTCGTCTAGTCTACCAGAGTTATACCTTAGAGGTGAAACCAGTCTCATGTTGAAATATGATTAACCTCCACTGTGTAAAAAATGCAACACATCTCAGCCCATACTGCTGCAAACCGTTTCGAGGCGACTCAAAGGAGTTAAAATAGCATTTTTCTGTGTTCTTCTGTTGATGTCAACTCTGGAAATTCGTTACTTATTGCAATTATTAAGATGAATAAAGGAATGCAGACCATTACGAATTATCTCATCGCCAACATGGCTGTCTCGGACATTGTTATTACACTTTTGGTTGTTCCGCGACACATTACTGAAATATTAGTACGCCCTTGCGGGGCTCCATTCTGTGTAAAAGCCTTCCTCTTTTACATGACATCATAACTGCTGTCTCAATTTTGAGTCTTGTTGTCATCACCATTGACAGGTATACAGGTATCGTAGACAACTAATGAATCTGGCTAAACTCTGTAAAATCGTTATTCAGTTGATATGGATCTTATCTGTCTTTTCACGCGTTGTACTTCGATATTTTTCGCACCGTAACAAACATTGGCGAAACATTTTGTGTGCTACACTGGAGTCCAAAGTCTCGGGCAAAGTATTTTGTAGTAATATTTATTTGTTTGATGTCTGTTACAGCATGCGTGGTTACACTTCTGTATTTGCGTATTATCCACAATCTGAACAAAAACAGTGCTGCTCAATGCTAACTTTAGGTTTGATACGGCGAACGAAGACAGAAAAGTGGAGAGAAATATCATTACAGTACTTATTGCTTTCATAATCTTTCTTTAGTGACACTTGACATGCTTAAGTTTCAAATTACATCGTTTTTTTTCCTTTTGCACTGAAAGGTTGGACATGCAAGAGGGTAGGTTTTATGGCTTTGGATTTTTGCTTTTTTGATGTTTTTATCGGGTTGGGAAAGTTGCTATCCCCGTCAGTTGCAGATTCCTTTATGACCGGCATGAATTGTATTCGGTATATCTATGCGCAGGCATGATGGGAATGATTACTCTTTTTCTCTGATTAGAATAGACCTGCGGACAGTCACTTGGCCTCTTTTGGGCGAATACGCCATAAGTGGTCCATTGACTACTGCTCTCTTGGCCTCAGCATTGGATCTAACTCTTTTTGTCACATAACAATAGTCAGTGGATCCTCAAAAAAATGGAAATGCTAATGAATTACAAGCCTATGTTCGCGGCTTTATGGAGATGCTCTTGAGAGGATATCTGCCATTGAGTCGAATGCCAACGAATGCTTGGCTTAAATCACGTAAATGTGCCTCAGCAGTTTCGAACCGCGCGTTGAATATGCTAATTTTTCTTCAAGTGCGTGCACTAACGCGGGTGAATTATCGCAGTCACATCTATTTTCATGCACAATGAACAACATGACATTTTTCTTGCTTATTACTCTTCCTATTTCAATTTTCGTTGTCTAGTCGAAATTAAGCACACCCACAGTGCTACCATTTGAAGTACAATTATTCTCCAAACATTTCGTGCCTTTGCGCTCAAAGAAATGTGCAAAAGCAGTGCAATAATTCCAAAATGTAACATTACTATGCTATATACTCAGCAACAGGAATAGGGAAAAAGACCGAAAACAGACGAAACCTTGGGTCGCTCCACTTTCGAACAAACAGGAAGACTGGATGATCTTGATTTATTTTATGGAGCTGTCACCACCTTTTGCACATCGGCCCGTTAGCCGCAAATTCTAGTGAGATAACCAACGTTCCCCTCGGAGTAGACTACTGAGGTAGAGGCTTTCTGGTAAACTTTCTAAAATGCAGCAAATATAGTTGTATTATAGCCTTTACCACTGGAAAAAAGCATCGTTCAATTCGTGATTGGAAAATGAAAATTAGTTGGATTGAGAGAATTACGATTACTTTCAATTTTCAAAACAAATTTTATTTCCAAAGCGAACAACAGTGTCGTCAGCATGCTATATATTCTCATAAAGCACGCTACAATAAGCCAATCAGAATCCCTGTTGGAATGGTTCAAATAATCTGATTGGCTGTACAAGACTAAAGCTGTCAAAAATGTCAAACCATCAAAATTCAAAAACCATCCAAGTTCATATTCTGCAATAGTTTACAAACTTTCATAGTTCGGCATGTTGAATTGAACTTTTGCCTGAAAGTTTTTAGTTTCTAATACAGAATCTGAAAGTAAATTGTTCAGTGAAATTCGGCCCAATCGTGGCTCACAAAAAGTTTTTTCACATGACAAGTAGTAAACAAACTGTTCAAGGGGAGTGTATTATGAATGAACAACAACCGAATTCTAGGACATGAAGATCGCTCGGAATGACAGCGCCGTAAAACTCGGCTGCAGTGACTGATCTGGCCTTCCACTCAACGCATCGGAAAGGTAATCAGAGCAAGCTCTTATTTTTCCACTTGAAGGGTAGTCGTTTTAGTTCCTGAGGCTTGCTCCACTGCGATGAACGAAGATCTCCATGATGAGCTAGCCGCGATAGACCTCAGCATTATTGCAGTCGCTCCGACACCGTCTTGATTAGTATGAATTTTAACAGTTATGCCAGGTTATATTTTTCATCATTCCTGTTTTTACCTGTTTTGTTTTTGAAAACGAAACTTTATATACTATACAAGTGTTAGCTGTACTTGATTTTTATTACCGTATGTAAACTTGCAATCTAACTGAGTGCGAAAACTGTTAAAACTCGGACTGTCTATTTTGTTTTATCTTTGAGGATTTTCGTCTCTGCTCACGTTACAGTAACGTAAAGTACTGCGCCTGGTATTTTTGCAAACCTTTGCTCGCTTGTTCCGAAATTTCACTTTCAATTAATGAAACTGGAAAGCTAGAAAGAAGTCCCGGAAGAGGTCGGATATAGTACAATTTGGCAGGTGGCGTGACAGCTTTAGCTCAGTTCTGTGCTCTGTACTCTCATAGAGAACGCTCTTTCAACCAATTACAGTACGTGTTATATCCGAACTTTATTATGATATTGGCTAGCAAATAATTGCTCTTCTAAACTTTTATCTACATAGATTATAATCAGGATTATGATATCAGACCTCAAATCTGACTGATATCTGCAAGTTATTACTTCCTTTTTAAAAAGCCCATTTACGTAGACAATACATAAAAACACGAGCTTAGATCATGAAATCGAATCGCACGTTATTTTTCAAACGGAAAACTAGTTGCCAAACATCGGTTGTGTGCCAACTAATACGTGGCTCAAATCGCGTAAATATATTTCAGTTTCAAACCTCTGTTAATTATGTTAATTTTGCACTAGCATACATCGATTATTGATATTGTTGATACGTATATTGTCTTGCAGAATACATAGCATGACATTTTCCTGACGTATTTACTCTTTCTTTTTAATTTCCATTTTCTGCTTGACATAAAGCACACACATTGTTTTCAACTGAAGGAAAATCATTCTCCGAACATCTGGTTACTTGAACTTTTGTGTCGATATAATTTAACCCACCCCAAAATTATATGAAGGAAATAGAAAAGAAAAGCGGTATATTTGTGCGCGTTTCGAGCACCCTTAAATTATTTATGTTTATAAGCCATGTCTCTGCTGTACTAGACATTTTTGTTGCATAAGCTATGAAAGGGGGAAAATTCCTCCTTAAAAATTAATTTTGCAGATTTTATTATCGACCCCAACAACACCAAAGGTTGCTCTAGCTAAGTAATCATTTGACGCAGTTCTCCAGCTAAGCAAGTAATAGGATGTCAAATGGCCATCTTTTTCGTCGTTCGCTCACTTTTCCGATCGTTCTTTACAGAGAAAGTAGCATTTCTCATGAAACAGATTCGATTTTTTTTTTCTGATGAAAGATGAGTGAGATTTCAGCCTGGAACTAAATTCTGCAGTGCTATGTTCGAGCAGCATTATTTCAACAAGGAAGGTAATTTTTTTTTCTTTTCTTTTCCTTTGGAGGGTTGGGCGGTTGAAGGTTAATTCTCCGGGTTGAGTACAATGGTAGAAAATCAAAACTTACAAAATTTTCATGCCACGCGTCTGGTGCTTCCAATTGCCTTCCAACGTCGCTACAAGCGAATACAATTTACCTTATGATAATTGATTACGCCTGTTAAAACATATTTTTTAAAAAAAAACAACAATGACAAAGAAAACAATTGGGAGCTTTTAGAGGATGAAGAGTGCTATCTAAGAAATCATTTTTCTTTTAATAAGACTCCTCAATGTAACTTGATTTATCGCGATTAAACCAGCAATCGGTAAATATGCGGCATTTATTTTGTGTAAGGTGCAATTTTTTTTTGTTGTTTTCAAAGATGACACATCTAAGAAACATATTGCGCGTCCTATTGTTTGAGTTTTCAATGCATCAATGAAACTCGTGAAAACAGGAAGAAAACGAGGAAGGGGAAACGATCTTTTTGTTTGGCTTTTTTTTCATCATATTTCTAAGCGGTTTAATCTTTACCCGACGGGAAGCTCGCGATAAAAAATGGAATCACGATGAAACCACAATCAATTAAGGTTCCCCTCAAGTGAGCTTTTGTTCCGTTGAACACAAGTTTTTCATTTATCGTAATCGTTGAAAATCAATCTATGTAATTGTTTGGTCATTAATCGAGACAACTATGCGAACCAGATTGATGTACATTGTTATGATATCCAGTCGGTAAGCATTATAAAGCACCCAACCCACATATTAACCGCGGTAGGAGGCGGCCTTTAGCGAATATTCAAGACAGAGTGAAATATTTCTGAAACTTAAATTCATTTCTTTTTCTTTCCCCGTAGACTGGAAGATTTACCACATCACTTTCTATTGCATTTCTTGGGTGGTAACTTCGAAGTAAAACCGGTTGATTTACTCGTCAAGTATGAGTAACTTCGCATGTAATAATGCAACACAACTCACTTCATACTGCTGCAAACCGTTTCAAAGCGACACGAACGCAATCAAAGGAGTTAAAATACTATGTTATTGCGTTCTTCTATTGATGTCAGTGATTGGAAACACGTTGCTCGTTGCCATCATTAAGACGAATAAACGATTGCAGACCATTACGAATTATCTCATCGCCAATGTGGCTGCCTCAGACATTATTAATACACTATTGGTTGTTCCGCGACAAATAACAGAAATATTGCTTGGTCCACGCTCATGGCTGGTGAGTGGATTGTTGGGCTCCATTCTCTGTAAAAGCGTTTCCTTTTTACAAGACATCACAACTGCTGTCTCAATTATAAGTCTCGTGGTCATCACCACTGACAGGTACAGAGGAATTGTATTTCCTTTCCAAAAGCAACTTATGGGTCCTGCTAAGCTCTGTAAAGTTATCATTCCGTTGATATGGATCGTATCTATGCCTTTTCACCTAGTGTACTTCGATATTTTCCACACTGAAACAAACAATGGAGAAACAACCTGCCGGCCACTCTGGAGTCCAGAGTCTCAAAAAACAAGTTTTACAGTAATATTTGTTTGTTTAATAGTTGTTCCAGCGTGCGTCATTACATTTCTTTATTTGCGGATTATCCATAATCTGAAAAGAAACAGAGCTGCTCTGAGCCAAGGGCCCCTACGGAAACGACTGAAAGAAGACGTTAAAGTCGTGAGGAATATCATTGCAATACTTGTTGTTTTCGTGGCTTGCATGACTCCAATTAGTATCTATGGAATGCTGGTCATGTTCGTTTGGGATAAGAAAGTGCCTTGTGGCATTGAAAACTACGGTTTTGCTGCCCACTTTATTCTTTATACAAACGCGTCGGTCAATCCATGGATATATTTTGTATTGAACGATAAATACCGTCGTTGTTTCGGAAACATTTTAAGGAAACTTCATATCGTCAGAAAGGAGAAAAAGTCTGGAGGAGGATCACCACTCGCACTAGAAATGTCAGGTTTTCGACCAACTGCTTAATTACATCTTATTAAATGGTCCGTTTGCTTCCAAGTTTTTAGAAGACGTTGAAAAGCGAGGCACGGCAGCCCAAAGCAAGTTCAGAGGATAAAATACTTTTGATACCGTTTTGGTATCAGGTTGCCAAGAGAGGCGCTATTGACGAGTTATTGTCAGTTGGAATTGTAGCACGAAGCAACCGAGTTCGTTGTATTATATTAATTGCTGGTTATTAAATGTTCTTTATCAGACATTTTCTGTGTTTGCTCCACTGTTTTAATGGTTCAGGTTTTAGTTTTTAAAATTATCTGCCCAAACGCGAGTATAAAGTGAATAACAGGGTAATTTAGTATTATCAACTGAGTTGAAAACGTTAATTGGTCACCGTAAAGAGTTTAAAGGCTGACGTTTCGAGCGGTAGCCCTTCGTTAGAGCGATTGGGGGAATTGTGTTTTATGTGCAGAAAATGGGGCTACGCTAATGGTGAGAATATGGTGACGAAACAACAAGAGTAAATTAGTTGAATTAATGAAAAGCGCTCGTTGCTACCGTGGGGATTAAGAGTGCCGATTTGGAAGAGAAATTTTTCTTCTAGATTTTTGCGGCTTTCCGAACTGCCTAGATGTAGAGAAAGGCCGCAAAGAATGATTAGGGAGATTCAAGTGTGTAGCGACTGGTTTGGATGCGTCCTTGTCATTTCTTTTACGTCGCGAAGGTGTTCTCGCAAACGGTCTCCCTGTTTCACCACTGTATAACTTTTTGCAATAAGTACATGACATAAGTTATGCAGTAGATGACGTTGGCGGAGGTGCACGTAAAGGGATCAGTGATTTTATTGGGTCTCTTGGGTCCCAACATTTTCTCTGCGTTATGAATGAAGGGAAAAGTTTTGCATCGTGAGCGAGCCCATTTGAAAGTTCCAGGTTGGTCATAGGTTTGAAATGATCCTCCGACCAAAAAATTGCAAATAAATGTTGCGACACTCATGTTGCGAACTGCGGGCTAAGTTAGACGAGGCGTGCCATGGAATTGAGTGTTGTTTAATACAGAACAGTTTGCTCGAGTTTGCTTAAGGATAAGATCAACCAAAAAATCAATTCTTTGATATCCTGCCTTGACCATAAATTGAAGACAAACAAAACTTTAATTGCTATTGAGTTACATTTGAATGAATTTGTTCCAAGTATGAAAATTATTACAAAAGTGACGTGTGAAATTACCATTAGCATTGTGGAAGAACCATTTCGTATTAGTTTTTTTATGAGATACCTTTGTTACTACAAACACCCTGATTGGTAAAAAACCTCTCGTTGATTGCACCGGAAGTTTATTTTATAGGAGCAACAGCGCTGGCGCGCACTTTCGTAGCTGACAGTTTACCTCCAGCTTCCCCTCTCGGAAACCTGTTCTCATTTCGGAACAGCGATAATGTTCTCGGAAAAATATCTGTGCATATTTTCGCGCCAACTGAAGGTTAATGTTTATGAAGCAAAATGGTTGTGGTTATTCATCTTTGCAGATAACTTGCAATGAAGTATAATTGTTTGTCTCGTGATGTAGTCCCTTCCGAAGAGGATCGACACGTTTCGACCGAACTGCATACTGTGAGTCTTCTTTACTCTTCTGGCGATAAGGTCTGCTAGATACACGTCACCTCAGGAACTGTTATGCTAAGCTGTAATTGGATGGTACAGGCGATAAGGTCGACTGGGTACGGTGGACATAGGCAATGTGTAAATGAAGTGTCTTGTCCAAGCTAGGGAAAAGAGACAATGAGGCGAACCAGATCTCCGAACAAGACCTTTTCATCCTGATACCTGTGCACCGATCTCTTAGCCACATTATCTTCGAATATGCAGAAACAAAAGATTATAAACAATTTATAATCTCTTAGCAGAGAAGAAAATAAACACTCACAGAAACATGTCATTTTTTTTTTAAGAGAAGGGGGTTATGTCTATCTGGGCCACCGACAATGGTGGAGCCAGCTACGATGATTGTAGCTGCGACGGTTAGACGTCAAGTATCTACACTCTGTCTATCGCCTCTGTGAGCGCCAGCGGATGCAAAACGTTTACGACGAGAGCAGCCCCTTTACGATGGGTGTGGTCTTCACCGGGAATGTTGGCTTGCAGTGTAGTAATTGAGAGTCCTTCAGCCATCTTCAAACTACTTTTTTGTTTAACAAGTGTGTGACATCGTTTTCTGGGAAATCCTGCGCGGCTCCCTTAGCAGCTTGGAATCTTTACGCTGGTTTTGGAGGCAAATCCTGACCTTTCTTGGCGAGATATCCAACACTTAGTTGTTCAAACTGCGCTGAAAAATGAGCCTGACAGCCCTTCATGGAGCACGGTAAATCTTTTTTCAGTTGTCCTAAGCCAGCGTCTCAGTAAGTAAGACTCGAACGAGACTGAATTGTAACAGTTTTGCCGTTTTCTTCCAGCTCAGATGAACAGATCCGTTCTTGTTACTTGAAAGTCTCAGTAGTTGAACCTCAGAATACTCAAAAAACACACTCCGTGGACTTTTTACACCTGATACGGCAACGTTAAGATCCAAGGGAAAGGTGGAACTGATGATAAATATGTCATTTACTCAATTAATCAAGGAATCAATTGATCGATCGATCAATTTTCAAGTCGCTTCTCATTTCCATGACCTAATCTCGTTATCTCTGATTACAAACATCTCATCAATGACAATGAAGACATCCAAAAAACTAGAACACGTTCAGTTTAATGTATCTGAGACCACTGTCGCTGGGGGGACCTGGTGATCGACCTCGTCTCGCCCAGTGGCACCACTTCGCGACTGCTGGCTAGGAGGCCCGAAGACGACGGAACACAATTAGCATTTGATACTGGCCTTTTATGACTGTGGAATACTGGGACGAGAATCTTCGAGGCGAGTGGATTGTGAAGATCCGGAATGAGAAGGTAATATAATGGTATATTTTTGGATTGAGAGGGTAATGCGATTTTGCTAAGAGAATTAAAACTAAGTAGGTAAATAACTCTATTTTGACTCGGGTTAATACTTCGGTCAGGCCCCTCGCAATACATGCCAATATTCAGAGAAAAGTATGAGATAATAACGACAAAAAAATTGTTCAGGATATCGAAAATAATCAGATGCTTTCTAACTACTTCAATTAAATAAAAATCCCAACTCTTAAGATTATTACAGTGGGAAAATCTTAGAACACTACAGCTATTTCAATTTACGTTGTCGGATCAAAGCCTCAAGCCTACAAGACAAGACCGAAGGGGAATATGGGATCTTAATGAATAATTATCAGCAAAATTAACAATGCCTCGTCTATACAGCGAAGATCTCCGATGTCCATGTCCATCTCGCGCCGACAACCCCGAAAGCCTAAAATTAATTCTAATCTACCCATACCGCCTTTCGGTCTTGTCCCGTACCCTTGAAGCTTTGATCCGACAACGTAAATTGAAATAGCTGTATACATTACAAATGCAGCTCTCTTACAGCATTCTTGATTCCTTAAGAATTGTCGTTGAGCGTAATTCATCTTATAAGGAATTCCACACTTTAGCACCAATAAAAATTGTAGATTTTGAGCCAAAATTTGTAGTTTTATTACTTTGGAGCTTCCTTCTGTTTCGTTTTAGGCCTAGCAAGAGACGTTTGTAATATTCACTTTCTGAGGATATTGTGGTCAAAATATCGATGGATGTTTTTCTTGAAAATAGTTAACTCTGAAAAGAAGAGTATTCATTTTCTTTCTTTGTGTTTATATTTATTATTAGGCAAACTATTTAGAGCCTTAATTAGTGGTAATCTCACCAGGGTCTCATCGACGTTTAATGGAGATTTTCTATTCAAAAGGCCTTGTGAGATTCTATCCGGTCTTCGTCATTATTTGTTAGGCCTTCAATAAGAATTCATTTGTAAAATAGAGAATATAGAGAATAATACATGGGCGCGTGTAGATATAAAATTTCTCTTCGAGTGTTTAACTCGATAGCTCACGAATGAGCACTGCGAACGAGTGAGATGAGATGGGATTTTGTTTTTTCATATAAAAGCGATAGCCGTTTACTGACAAGAGAAGCCGACTACATCAATGAAAGAAAATAAATGAATCGACAATCCCCGAATAACAATCGTAGAGTGCGTTGGCACTAACTCTTAAGATGGAAAAATGCGTCGAATCATGATTACAAAAACAACAATGGGCGTAATTTTCAATTTACAAAATTTTCAGTTATTGACTTTGTCCTTACCGACAAAAGAATGCTTTCAGATATATGGCTAAAATGGGCCGGTAGCGAATCTTCCAGTTGTCGATTTTCGTTCTCAGTCGCGAAAAATGCCAACACCAAAGCCACTGAATACATGACTTTCGGTTTTTCTTTTTGTATGTTATATTGGTTTTTTCCCCTTCTAAGAAAGTTTGAACCTCATTGTCTGTCAGCGATACGGGATTTTTAGTGTTTTAGCCGCCATAATCCGTGAAAGTTCCGACAAACTACCTTGTGCTGAGAATCGTGAAGGCTTCGCCGTTCATTCATCAACCTGACCTAGTGACGAAATGAACCTGCATAAAGGAGGTGAAGGCTTAGCCATTCAGAGTGGCGCGAAAGGCTAATCATGTGTCAGCAGCTGATTGACGATATTAAACACGTGAAAAAATATCCAATTTCTTTACGCGTGTCGCTATGGCTTTTCCCAGGGCCGGAAATCCCTGTATAACACCGCAGTTTATGTGATAAAGCAAAATATTAGCTAGAGGATAGACTGATCTTTTTGCGGCCTTGAAGATTCAAGGTAGACGATGCTCTCTTTTGAGAGAATAAGTGAATCTTGAGCAATAGTCCACATTTTAGGTGTTCTTTTTCCCATGGTGATTGAAACAGTCTACTAATAAACAAGTTACGGAAGCTGAAAATATAGTCCTTCAAAGGAGAGCAGTCTTCGTCAGCGGAAATGGAGATTGTGTTTACTGAGCTGCTGCTCTTTGGAGAAATGACTAAAACAAACGATGAGAAACACGAGGAGATCAGTTTGTTTCAGAAAATTCAATGGTTGTTGAGCTGCCACCCCTAGCTATTTTCAACCACAAACACAGCCACGGCTATTTCAACACTAAACTCTTATACAGTGATGTCTTCGGCTGATTTAACTGTCTCGGATATTGCCATTATACTAATGGTACAATATAGGTAACAGAAATATCGCTTAGCCCACAATCATGGCTGGTGAGGAATTGTTGGGTTCCATTCTC